GCCAACTGGGGAGTGAACCAGCAAATGGAAAATCTCTCTCTTTCTCTGCCTCTCCTTCTCTCTCTGTGTTACTCTGCCTCTCAAATAAATAAATAAATTTTAAAAGAAAAAAAGAACTTTGGGTATTTTGACAGCCTTGGGATATTCTCTTATAAATAGAAATATCACTCATTTTTTTAAGTGTATACCCAGGAGTGGAATCTTTTATTCTGGTTCACTTTCAGTGTCTTACTTTTTAAGCCCTGGACCATAATCTAATATTTCTATATTATCAAAGGAACCATAGCAAAGTGCATCCCTTTAGGCCTGGGAAGTGTTGCACCCCAAGCAGAGGCTCCCTTTGTACAAACAGTATCCAAGCCTGACTGCAAATCACAATTGTCTGCAGGTCCTCTAGTGTTCATTTTGTTACTAAAAAAAAAAAATTAAAAAAAGATTGGTACATGTAAACAGGAAAAAAAAAATAATACAGAAGAATATAAAGTGAAAAGTGAAAGTCCTTCCCACACAGTCTGTATAATACCCCATTCCCCTATCCAGAAATCCGTAATTTCTTAAGAATTCTTGTTTTCTTAGTGGTGTTCTTTTTTTTAAGATTTATTTTATTTATTTGAAAGTTAGAGTTACAGAGAGGCAGAGACAGAGAGAGAGGTCTTCCATCTGCTGGTTCACTCCCCAGTTGGCCGCAAAGGTCGGAGCTGTGCCGATCTGAAGCCAGGAGCTTCTCCTGGTCTCCCACGTGGGTGCAGGGGCCCAAGGCCTTGGGCCATCCTCCACTGCTTTCCCAGGCCACAGCAGAGAGCGGGATCGGAAAAGGAGCAGCTGGGACTAGAATCGGCGCCCATACGGGATGCTGGTGCTTCAGGCCAGGGCTTTAACCCGCTGCGCCACAGCGCCGGCCCCTCAGTGGTGTTCTGAACTCTTGAAGATTTCTGGGCTCAGGCCAGACTTAATGAAGGAGATTTCCGAAGGTCTGAGGAATTTTTATTTCAGGTTTGGGAATAGCTGCCGAGGGAGAGAGGCCCCTCCAGCTCGCAGTGAGCCGAGACAGAAAGGCGGCTCGGCCAAAGCTGCAGGCGCCCTGGAGTGAGTGAAGCCTGCGAGCCGGTCCGCCAGGTCCGCGCCCTGTGGCCCGGTGTCCTGTGCTCTGATTCTCCAGCTGCTGCCAGCACTGATCCTGCTTTAGCAGAGCTAAAGCGACCATGGCTTTATCTCGCCCTCTTCATGTTCGTGCCTGCTCTCTTCACCTACAGTTGCTCAATTTCTCGCTTTAATTTCTTTTCTAACCCACATACTGAACTTTCTTAGTTGGAAGGCAGTGATTAATTCCATTAAAATTCTAGTTCCTTTTTGGTTAAACCCATAAACCAGTCTATTAAAGGGTTTGCTAACTATTAAATATATTACCTTTTCTGGGGAACATAAGCCTTATGCTAAAATGTAGATTCCTATCATGCCCTGACACATAGTGTGGAGTTTTGGGGCTCCTTACAGAATATCCAGGAAAATTCTTGTAGTGTGGCAAGTTTTCAAATAACTGTCCATGCCTACTGTCATCAAAATTACTCAATTCAAGTGCTTCAGACAAGCTCATGGTTAACATAGGTACTGACACAGAAGAAATTGCTAGGAATCTAAATCATAATCAGGTCAGGGGGTCACTATCACCAGGTACTCAGAGAAGGTTCACGTGGATGAAGTCTTCAGTCCAAATCACACTGTGGAATCTGTGACCCCTCAGCCCTTTACTACCCAAGCCATGGAACCGCAGAACAAGAAACCTGCACTCGACTGCCCAGCTCAGTCCAGGGTTGTTCACATCCTCCTCCCCGTGAACTCCTACAGCTGTTGCCAGTCACCAATGGGCCACCATCTCATCCTTTGGCGGCGGGCTCAGCCGGGCATGGCACGTCTTGGCCTGTTGCTTCTAGTCCTCGCTCTCTCCCAGGGAGCTATGGCAGCGCCCATGTGAGTGCTGGGGCTGGGACCGGGGACTGCCTGCAGGCAAGGAGAACACCATGGAGAACCTGAAGGACCACCTGGCCTCCTCCCTGGATAATGTGTGTATCCTGGAGTAGGAGGTAAAGGCCAGTGAGCTAGAGGGGAAGATCTGAGACTGTACCAGAAGCAGGGGCCCGCACCCTCCTGACTTCAAGGTCATCCAGGACCTATGGGACCAGATTCTCGGTGCCACCATTGAGAACCCCAGGATGGTCCTGCTGATCAGTGCTCATCTGGCTGCAGGTGACCTTGGAATCAAGTCGCTGACAGAGCAGGCTCTGTTTGAGTGTGGAGGTTGAGATTAAATGGCCTGCAGCAGGGGGCTGGACTAGATGACCCTGGCCAGAACCAACCTGGAAAAGCAGATCAAAAGCCCAAAGGAGGTGCTGGCCTACCGAAAGAACCACGAGAGGAAATCAGTGTCCAAAGGCGCCAGGTAGGTGGTCAGGTCAGTGTGGAGATGTATTCTGCTCCATGTATTGACCTAGCCAGGAAGACTCGCAACCCGCGAAGCCAACATGAAGTCAAAGCAGAGAACCAGGATGCCGAAGCCGGAGGGAGTCACCATGTGGACTGAGGAGCCCAGGTGGGAGGTTGCTAGCCACACGGAGATCCAGAGAAGCAAGTTCGAGGTCAGCCCAGCTGTTTCGTGCCTGCTGACGGCGAGCAGCAGGATCGGAGCACAGCAGCGTCTGGACTCCAGGTCGTGGCTGGAGCAGGAAATCGCCACCAACTGCAGCTGCTGGGGGACCAGGGTGCCTAGGACAACAACGCACCACCTCCACTGGCCTCTGTACTGGCAGGTTCGTGGGCTCTGCCCTCCTGCAGAGATTCCCCTGGGTAAGGAGGAGAGGGACCTTTACCCTGGGCTCTTCCCCTGACCTGCCAAAAACAAGAGCGATCTAGACATCATTGCGTGATTTAAAAAGGAAGGAATATAAGGACATTTTAAATATGCCTTGCTAAGCCGAAGGCTGGGAAGTAGGAAAACAATTGAATTCAAAACATAATACCCAATTCATATAAAGGATAATTCTATAATAATTCAATTTTGAATATATCCAGCCTTTCTTTTATTAAAATATTTTTATAAAAAAATAAACCGCGATGGTCTCCCAGCTTCATAACCTCCTTCACGCTGGGGTCTTAAGTCTAGAACACTCCAATGCTGCCTTCCTATTCTGTCAGTTGCAGCACAGGTCTTGCCTTCCCTGTCCACCCTAGGTGGCAGGGGTCTGATTATTTGTGCCATTACTGCTATCTCCCAGGATCTGTGTGAGCAGGGAGTGCTAACTGGGAGCAGAAGCAGAACTTGAACCCAGGCACTCTGACAAGGGATGCAGGTGTCCCAAGCAGCACCTTAACTACTGTGCCAAATGCTTGCCCCTCCAGTACACCTTACAGGGCAACATGCCCATTACTGTTTCATCTCATCTGTCCAATTCGTCTGTAATTGGTCTAATTCACCTTTTGCCATTTTTGTATTATGTGGAGCTGGGTTCTGAGAGATGATGTGAAATAAGGATTCTTTTTTTTCCCCAGAAACCTTTTATTTAAGGTATACAAACTTCATGTAGTTCATAAATACAATTTTAGGACATAATGATTCTTCCTACCGTACCCACCCTCCCACACACACTCCCATCCTTCCTCCTCCCTCTCCCATCCTATACACATAAGATTAGGTCTATACTAAGTAAAGAGTTCAACAAATCGTATGAAAACAAAAACTGTTCCTCAACAGTTTTCGATTTCTCTTGATTTCTTCTGTGACCACTGTTCACTCAGGAGCATGTTGTGCAGTCCCCATGTGTTTGCGTATGTTCTAAAGAATCTTGTGTTTATTTCCAGCTTTGTTCAGAGAAGTTGCATGGTATGATTTTGATTTTTTTGAATTTGCTGAGGCCGGCTTTATGGCCCAGCACGTGGTTTGGGGAAAACATGTATTCAGCTTAAGGAGGCAGCAAGTACTGGAGGGTTAGCACTGGAGAGGGGGGAGCAACTGCTGCCCACATCAGGTGAGTGACTGTTTTGCCTTCTTGTGCTTCCGTTTCCCACCCTGTAAAATAGAACCAATCGCAGTGTTGATTCCATAGAGCTGTTGTCAGGACTTACAGAATATTATGCAAAGATTTAGAATACTTAGCAAGTGCTGAGAACCTGCTAGCTGCTATTCTTAAGCAAACAAGTTTTCTTTCTTACTTGGCTTCATTTTATTTGCTTTCTGTAGGACTCTTGTAGGTCTTTGATATGCTGATGTACCTATGCATCTCCAGATAAGTAATATTTCCCAAATTTAAACTTATAGAAGACCTCCTAGCTTATTCCAAAGTAGTGTGTGTCAAAATATACAATAGGTCTTCACAAATTTCATGGGAGACTCATACTATGAAAAAAATTTCTACATGAATTTCAAAATATTTTGCACCCAAATAAATTTATTTTTAATTCCATTTTTCCACAAATTTTTTGATGTACTCTTGTATTTTGGGAAATTCCGATCTAACAAATGTAAAAGAATATTAACACTTTCTGAACTGAAATTGGGACACTGATTTGACAATTAAATGTAGCTTGTGGCATTGGGACATAATATTTGAAATTAGAACTGTTCTGGGGCCAGCAGTATGGTTCAGCAGGTTAAATCTCTGCCTGCAGTGCTGGCTTCCTACATGGGCACCGGTTCGAGTCCTGGCTGCTCCACTTTCAATCCATCTCCCTGCTAAGGCTCCTGGGAAACCAGTGGAAAACAGCCCAAGTATTTGGGCTTCCACACCCGTGTGAGAGACCCATATGAAGCTCCTGGCTCCTGGCTTTGGCCTGGTCCAGCCCTGGCTGTTGTGGCCATTTGGGGAGCAAACTTGCAGATGAAAGATCTCTCCTTCTCTGCCTTTGTCTCTCCCTCTGTAACTCTTTCAAATAAATAAATTTAAAAATTAAAATAAAAGAAATTAGGACTGTTCTAAGAATTATATAAACAAATAAAACATGTGCTCAGGTAAGTTTCAAATCATGAAATGTCTTCCCTTTATATAAATAAAAAATTACAAAATCTTTCTGTTTTAAAAATTATTGTAGAGCAAGTGAAATGATTTTTGTTAATTCTAAACTAAGGGTGTGCCTATTGTTTAATTAAAAAAAACTATTGGGCTTTATGTGTCATTTTCTGATATAGTTGAAAATTATTACTGCTTAACGAGGAAAGGCCAGACTTCCTTATACAAAAATGTAGACAATTTATCTTAATTCTAATGCAACTGATAAGAACTTCCTCTAGAACCAGGAAACTTTGCAAGTATTAAATCACCTGAAAGGAGGAGGTAAAGAAGGAAGTAACTGTGACCGAAGCAGAAAAGAGGAACAGGTTCTAAACTGAAGCAGGTTTCAAACACAGCCAAGAAGAGCAAGGGGCAGAACGTGGCACCCAGCCTGGAGGTAAGTAAGAACATGATTTAAGGTGTTCTGTAATACTTTTATGATATCAAACAGTTCTTAAGAAAATGATGCAGCCATGGGGGGAAACCCAATTTAAAGACCGTGTTCATGTCGCCGTGCAAGCAGACGTGCACACACGCAGGTACAGGATTCTGCTTTGCTGCCGGCTGGTTCCCAAGCAAAGGGTGGAGTCTGAAAATCCCAGAAGTTTTTCACAATTGTGATTTTTTTTTTCAGACAAATGGATAATTATCAGGCAACCTATTGGAACAGCTTTCCAAAATGAGACAAATAGCATCTTCTTTCTGGCGGGGCAAAGTGAAAGTTATGCAGGTTAGGTGTTAAACTATGTTTGAAGGACTCTTTTTCATCGCAGCAGGTCTTTGCTTATGTCTCACAGGGGCTTTCCTATGAAGTTACTTTGAAGAGAGGAAAAGCATGCATTTATTTTCTTATATGTTGTCTTCTCATCTTTAATTGCGGCAAACATCCCATAGACAAACAATTTTAATATTTGGATTAGACTGGGATGACAACTCTATATGGAACAACGTAGATGGTAAAAATAAATTCTCCTTTTAGAAACTCAGAGCAGTTTACTATAGTCTTACTGCAAAAGACACAGCAGTTAACGTTCCTGAAACCCCACCGCACTGCAGTTGTAGAACAAGTCCATTTTTAAAAGCTGATAAATTTGAATCAATATTTGAAGTTTATTTTGTAAATTTATATTCTGACAAATAGTTATTTAAAATGTAATAATTTACATTATAAAATATCTCCCTTACGATTGGTTTCTCACCTGTTTCAGAGAAGAAATGGGATTGTAAGAGGTATAGTCGTTTTCTAAGCTTTTGCCCTTGAACACAAGCACTGGGGGACCCTTGGTACTGTAAATCTTGAGTAAATCTTATACTACATCGTTTAACTTCAACATACTCCTCAAGGTTCCAAAGAGATTAAAAGGTATCTGGATTTGAGGTTTCTGTGTGTGTGTGTGTGTGTGTGTGTATTGTCCCTACATTTTTACCAAAAGTTTCAAAAATTAGTTGCATGTCATATTGAATTTTGTTACATGAAGTGTCAGGTAAAAATGCATACACTGATATAGTCTAAGCTTGAAGACGTTTCTAAAAGTTTACTAGAGCACACGGGTACTTTCTGAGATGAGAACATTTCTTTGCCAGTTTTCTTACTTCTTGTCCACTATTACCACTGTTATCCTACAAGCAGGTTGTTCTGTCCATTAATAATTATTTAATAAATTACCTAGGCTGTGGCTGGTGGGACTGTTAGTGATACAAAAAATAAGTATGAAAGAGTTGGTTTCCACCTCTAAAGGATCTCAGAACTAATCAAACCACACAAATATAGTGATGGGTACATTTGAGAGCCATGTATGAACAATTGGAAAGAATAATATCTTGAGGAAAATTACACTTAAATCAGGATTTAATCAATTCTTAGTCATTAAAGGAGCTACTCAATCCTTTAATCCTTGCTTTTCTCATCTAGGAAATGGGGATAACAATAGTACCCACTTACAGTGGTAGCTGCCGGATTAAATAATACATGCAAAAGTGTTTAGAATGTGACCTAAAATAAGATCTTAGATATATATTATTGATTATTGCAATCAGCAGATGATGGTGATCATCCTACAAGTGCTCTTAAAAATATTGGATATAATTACTTCTGTGTAGACAGAAAACAGACATAAATAATGCCTTGTTGATAGAATCACTTCTGATTTCTTTTTTCTTTCTTTTTTTTTTTTTAAGATTTATTTATTTATTTGAAAGTCAGAGTTACACAGAAAGAGAAGGAGAGTCAGAGACAGAGAGAGAGAGAGAGAGGTCTTCCATCCACTGGTTCACTCCCCAAATTGCTGCAATGGCCAGAGCTGCGCTGATCTGAAGCCAGGAGCCAGGAGCTTCTTCTGGGTCTCCACTGCAGGTGCAGGAGCCCTTTGGAAGAAACGTCATGAGTTTTATAGCATCAGCTCAAGCAATTAGATGTTGGGTTGGAATCACTTTGAAATTTGATCCTTCGTTCAATAAATATTGATTGAATGCCTTTTCTGTGCTAGGCGTTAGGCCATTTTCTTGGAACACAGACATAACAAGACCTGATCCCAGCCCATCATCTAACCAAGTGGGAGGAATCCACCACAATTCCTTGCCAGTGTGGGGTATCATGCTAGAGGGTAGACTCATTAGCATGGGACTGCAGAGGAAGGAATGATAAAGGAAAGACATGGCCCCTGCCCACTCTGCAGTGAGGGGTCAGGCTCCACAGAGGGGGTGGTAGGGAGTGGGAGATGATTTCACTAGAATGTTCTCTTGCCTTCCTCCTTTGGTTTTTGAGAACACTACCTCTCACTTGAAAATCGTTAACATTACTATCAAGACCTATGTTGGCCAGCGCCGCAGCTCAATAGGCTAATCCTCCACCTAGCGGTGCCGGCACACCGGGTTCTAGTCCCGGTCGGGGCGCCGGATTCTGTCCCGGTTGCCCCTCTTCCAGGCCAGCTCTCTGCTGTGGCCCGGGAAGGCAGTGGAGGATGGCCCAAGTGCTTGGGCCCTGCACCCCATGGGAGACCAGGAGAAGTACCTGGCTCCTGCCTTCGGATCAGTGCGGTGCGCCGGCCGCAGCGCGCCGGCCATGGCGGCCATTGGAGGGTGAACCAACGGCAAAGGAAGACCTTTCTCTCTGTCTCTCTCTCTTTCACTGTCCACTCTGCCTGTCAAAAAAAAAAAAAAAAAAAAACATGTTATAATCTAAATGATAAAACCCTCAGGCTTGGGCAAAGATGTTCTTCTAACCTTTCTGTGCCCCATCACAACAGCTAGTACTGTACTCTGTGTTAAAAACAGGAACTCTCTAGATGCTGGTATTTGATATAGTGGTAGAAATTTGGCAGTTTTTAATTATACTAGGTAATAAATATCTGTGACATATTTTTCATTTATAGCAGGTTTCTGGATGGCTGATTGTTCAACTTTTCTTGAGTTTTCTACTTTGCTATTATCTTCACTCATTTCTGCTTCATTTTGTGGTTCACTGACAGAAAAGGAAGAGGAATGGAATAAAATCTCCCTGATACAGTGCAATTACTCATTAAGCGTTGTAATGGGAAGAGCATCACATTCAACAAAGTGTACTCGGTCTCTCCGCTAACTGTGTCAGGACTTCATTAAATAACACTCTTTCACAACTGAAAAAGAAATGCTGTAAAGAGCTCAGGAACTCATCTTTGAACGGCATCAAGCTACAGAATAATCTCATCGGTCTATTCCTGTGAATTCATTAAGGACACCAAATTGCTGAACTGCTAGCACCGTGCAGAAATGCTGACAAGTCGTGGAAATCCTTCAGTGGCTATTTCTATAGGAATTTCCCTTTTTTTACTCTTGGTGGTTTGTGGAATTGGGTGTCTCTGGCACTGGAAACACCGTGATAGCACAGGATTTACCTTACCAAAGTTTCTGCAAAGGAGAAGTAGCAAGAAAAAAGACTGTAAAAAAATGTTCTTGAGTCCCCACATTATTAACGCGTGGCATAAAATCTCAGCTGAAGTCCACGACCACAGATCTGCTGTGGGGGAAACTAACTTAAATGACAACTATGAAAATGTGGAAGCAAGTTGTCCCAGAACTAAGGAGGAAACCGACAAGGAACTCTATGAAAACACACGGCAGTGTGATTTTGAGGAGCATATCTATAGAAATGAGACAGCCTCTGAGTATTATAACTTTCAGAAGCCGATTGCTTCCAGAGATCCTCAAGAGGAAGATATATACATTCTCCCAGATGAGTGTTAGGTATTTCAAAATACTGAGTTTCATTATTGGAAGATAAATATTGCCTGGGACTTTTATTGTACTGATATCGGTATTAATCAAGTTCTTCTGATGAAATTCAATGGTCTCTCTTCTATCTGCATCTGGAACGCATTCTGTTTATTGCTGTGGATTAATTCTACATGGTTTGTCTGACCTCCTTGTCCTGCAGTAAATCTGATTATTTGTGCTAACTGATCCCGTGTTAATTTCTCTATTTCTCCCTTCTCCAAATTTCTCTGATTTGGGGTTATTGTCACAGTCTTCTTGCCTCTAGTTTACACCCAATCACTTGCCCATGATACTTGCAGATTTATCATCTAGAAATATTTCCAATGGCCACATCACTCTTTGCTTAAAACTATTTAATGCCCCATCATTGCAAATGACATAATACTCATTGTTCCAAAATTCACACTCTTCCACGGTTTGCTCCATTTCACTTATCCAATGACTTTTACTACTAATCTTTGACTTTTCTAATTTTATGAGAATTCTCCAAAACCTGCCAAACTCACCCCTGTACCATCCTCTCCCCAAAAGCCATGCTTGCTTGCCTTCTCACTACAGCCGAACTCGGATCGTAACTTCTCCCACCAGGCTTCTGAGTCATTCCAAAACTGCATGTACCTTTTCTTTTTGTGATATGCTGTAAGTTTTGCTGTCTGTTCAATTCTCTAGGTATTTAAACATATGAATATTTGCTGTGGCATTTTATGACTAAAAGTCAAATGTGAATTTTTCAAACTTTCAGCTAAATTGAAAGAAACTGCCTCATATTCATATGTTTAGCCCCAGTGCCTAGACTGTCATGAGATGCACTAAATACTTATCCAGTTGACAAAAATTGAGTTATACATTTTGCTAAGTAGTTTGAGAAAAAGGTAATAAACGCATTCATTATTCCTCTATCCAAGGAGTATTTGTTGAATTTTTTCTATTTCCTTTCTATTATGCTCAACAAATGGGGAACAAAGATGGGGTTGTTATAATAATGAAGCAAGGGTCATGTGTCATATAGTTGGAAAAGAAAGATAATAAACAAATAAACAAATGAATACCTCACTCATTATGAAGCTATGGTATCTCAGTCCTAAACCCACCTTTTATATGTTGCTCTGAATTTTTCTGCCTGATGGGGAAAGGCTAAGACTGGGAGTGGTAAGAAAGAAAATTCAGGAATAGCCACTTTATTTTTGTATGGAGCAGCAGGGGCAATTGTAAATTACTTTACTTATAGGAGGAAGACTGAAAGAATAAACAGGTTTGGAGGTTTTATCAGTTAAGTATCAGTTGAGTTGCCTCTACCAGAAAACCAGATTACAATGCCTTAGACATTTATTGTTTCATTTATTTCACATAACAAGTAAAATGCAGTTAGGCATTCAATGGCTAGCATATCAGCTCCATGATGAGAAAAACCCAGACTCTCTCCATATGGCATTTTCTCTCTACCATCTTTAGTGTTTTAACTTTTTTCCTCAAAATTCCTGCCTCATGGCCATACAGAGCAGCTGAACCTGTAGGCCTTTTATTTGAGTTCCAGCCATAGAGAAAGAATAATGGGAAAGAATAAAATCAGAAGTTATGTATTTATATCTCATAGTCCAGACTATGTCATGTGGATACCACCAGATATAGGGATGTATAGAATATTAAAATTTGACCTTTTATAGCCTCATAGATAAGGAAGGAAATAGGATTTGAATCAGTTCATCTATAACACTTGCCACTGTGCAAAAATCAGTATGGAATATGTGTATTGTGATGTCTTGAGACCCAGGTGGAAATGTCCCTGTTGAATGTACATACACATTTAGATTTTAAGGAGAAGTCATAGCTGTCAGTGCAAACTTGGAGTTTATAAGTATTTAGGTAGTATTTACAGGTGCATGGATGGATGTAGTCACACGGGAAGAGACTATTGGAAACAAAACAGCCAATCAAGAAAGGAGGGAGGGAGGAATCTAAAAGTTTCTTCAGAATTGCAACAGTTTGTGGATAATTAATGAACAAAGGATCTGGCAAAGGAGGCTGAGAAAGAGTGGCCAGAGAGGAAGGAGGCAAATTCTCTGATCTCCAAGACTGATGGTCATACATGACATATTGACACTTAGCCATAACAGCCAATGATCAAAGTGTCAACAGACAAAATTTCAACTGCTTGAGTTGAAAGATCTAATTGACTTATATTGGTAATACATGAATCTGGAAGTATCTCCTCTAAAGGTTTAGACTGGCACTCTGCTGGGCCTGGGAGTACAAGTCTGTTTTTATAAAGCAGCTTGAATAGGAATAAGGAAATTATACAATACAAAAAAGAAGAAGAAGAGTGGTTGACAAGTTCCTTTAGATTACTTTTCTTCTCATTCAGGTGGTTTGGAGATGTTGTTCTCATCTTGCTACTGGTTTCCAGGAAGGTCATATGAACATCTTAGTTTCAGTTTGATGATTTGGAACCTCAGCTGGAGTGACTCCATTTTCTTTGGTCTGCTGAGGCCTAGTGCACGAGCACAGTATGCCATCTATTGCATCCAGAAAGAACTAGTTAACAACTGATAGTTCACAACTGATGAATAGTATATCTTTGTTTTATTCTTATTAATCAGAAGAGATAGTAAAAGGCTATGTAAAGGAAATATTTAGTCAATGATCCATCACCTAGTTATTTTTTTTTTATTTGACAGGTAGAGTTATAGACAGTGAGAGACAGAGAAAAAGGTCTTCCTTCCGCTGGTTCACTCCCCAAATGGCTGCTACGGCCGGCGCTGCACCAATCCAAAGCCAGGAGCCAGGTGCTTCTTCCTGGTCTCCCATGCGAGTGCAGGGGCCCAAGCACTTGGACCATCCTCCACTGCCTTCTCAGGCCACAGCAGAGAACTGGACTGAAAGAGGAGCATCCAGGACTAGAACCTGGTGCCCATGTGGGATGCCAGCACCACAGGCGGAGGATTAGCCAAGTGAGCCACGGTGCCGGCCCCCACCTAGTTACTTTTTAAAAAATATTTATTTATTTGAAAGTCAGAGTTACACAGAGAGAGAAAGAGAGAGAGAGAGAGAGAGAGGTCTTCCATCCAGTGGTTCACTCCCCAAATGGCCGCAAGGGCTGGAGCTGCGCTGATCTAAAGCCAGGAACCAGGAGCTTCTGGGTCTCCTACTCAGGTGCAGGGGCCCAAGGACTTGGGCCATCTTCTATTGCTTTCCCAGGCCGTAGCAGAGAGCTGGATCAGAAGTGGAGCAGCTGGGACTCAAACTAGTGCCCATATGGGATGCCGGCAATGCAGGAGGCGGCTTTACCCACTACACCACAGTGCCAGCCCCATCACCTAATTCTTACATTGATTTCATTTTAAGATTAATTGTAAGTTCTTTATCTGTTGGAAACCCTTTTTCCACTTTGCTTTATTAGATGTTCATGTGGTGAGGAGCTAGAGAGAAAAGAGATTATCATTATTCCCCCTTTTCCTTTCGTTATATACCCTGTGTTCTTTGTCCTTTCTCCTTTACTTTCTTTCTTTCCCTCTTTCTCTTTTCCTCCCACTTCCCACCAATTCTCCTCTTTCTCCTCCACTTTCATCCTCTCTCTCTCCCCTTCAAATTTATGTCTCCTATTGGCATCCTTTATTATAACATCTCTTTTAAAAACCTCAAAGGTAAAAATGATTTGTGAGAGATAAAGACAAGAACCTTCCTCTGTATCTACTGAGAGCAGCAGTTTGTATTTATGTTACATTATTAACAAAAATAGCCACATGCACCACAGTTAAAAGAGGAAGGATGTCGTGGGTGGGGGGAAGGAGACAGTAGCATCAAATATAATAAGTGTGATTTTGCTCTGTGCTCTCAGCCTTGTGGATATGTTCACATCCTGTTACTTAGAACTCATGTCTGTACCACTCTGTGGCCAGGACCCAGCAACAAGGAGAACCTGGTTCTGGCCTTTGCTGGCGGCCTGCAGCTTGAGACATTTTACTGAAATTTGCTTTGTACCTCATTTCCCAATGAATTATTGATCTCAACTACAAATGGAACCTCGCGGCGTAGGCCATTGGAAGCTTTGCTTTACAACCTCTCAATTACTGCTCAGGCCAGGTGGAGTAAGAGTAGATCAGTGCAGGGATGGCGCTGTGGCACAGCGGGTTAACACCCTGGCCTGAAGAGCCAGCATCCCCTATGCCGCCAGTTCGAGACCCAGCTGCTCCACTTCTGATCCAGTTCTTTGTTATGGCCTGGGAAAGCAGTAGAAGATGGCCCAAGTCCTTGGGCCCCTGAACCCACATGGGAGACCTGAAGAAGCTCCTGGCTCCTGGCTTCGGATTGGCGCAGCTCCGGCCGTTGCAGCCAATTAGGGAGTGAACCAGCGGGTGGAAGAACTCTCTCTCTCTCTCCCTCTCTCTCTCTCTCTCTCTCCGCCTCTCCTCTCTCTGTGTAACTCTGACTTTCAAATAAATAAATAAATCTTAAAAAAAAAAGAAAGAGCAGATCAGTGGCGAGATTGGGACGTGGGCTCCACGGAAGATCATGCCCCATTGTGATGGTATTTGGAGGTGAGTCCTTTGGGAGAGGCTTAGCTTTAGAGGAGATCACGAGATTGGGCTCCTTCTGATAGAATTTGTAGCTTTAACAAAAAAAAGAGACTAAAGAGTCTCCTGCAACAGCACCGCCCCCTCTACCACTACCATGTGAGGAGACATTGAGAAAGTGACCATCTGCAAGCTGTTAAGAGGCCTCTCACCAAGAAGTGAATCTATTAGCACCCTGATCTTGAGATTCTCGGCCTTTAGAGGTGTGAGGAAACAAGTGTTTGTCGTTTTAGCCACCTAGTCTATCATATCTTGTTATAATAGCTCAAGCAGACACGTTTTTCACTGCTATTCTAAGCCAAAATAATTAGTTGGTTTTTAAACTCAGAGGGTGTTGAGCCCAACATCCACCCTGCATTGCTTTCCTATATGATCACCTTATTCCTTGTACTCTTGCTCCCTCTTCCTCTCCTTTCTCCTGTGCAGCTTCCTTCCCTCTGGCACAGCCACCAGTGGGGTCGTTCTCCATGACCTCTCCTTGGCTCTCAGCTCCTTTTCTTGTCACTCTTTCCCCAGTGATCTGGATATTGATATGTGAACTCTCCTGCTCCAATATCTTTCTGCAACATCTGATCCATAGAACTCAGCACCTACTGCTGATCCCTATCTGATGTCCTTTAGTCATCAACAATTCAGTAAGGGGCAAACTAATGGATTGAGGTCAAGTTTGGGATATCACTCAGAAACGAAAATGGAATTAGTGATGAAGTTACTTACTAATCATTTTTAAAGCTGACAGTTCAAAATGTCCTTTATCAAGAATATTTCAGACTCAAAATACTGTTGTAGGCAGGCATATAGAATAAAATTGATTAGGTTTGTAAGCTGGAAGACCACGCCTTCACCACACCCCTGTGTGACCGCATGCCCCTACCTGGCCACACCTGTGCACCCATTGGCCAATCAGGTTAATTAACCACTCCCCTCTGAAGGTGGATTAAAAGCCTTTCTTTGCCCTCTTGCCAGTGTGGGCCTGTGCAGCCCTGAGCCTCCAGGACACGTGGCCTTTAGGACATCCTCCCCTCCTTGCTTCCTGGCCTAGATGCTCCTCTACGTGGATGGTTCCTGGTACTCCGTATAAATTCAGATTTACCTCTCTCCTGTAGATAAAGCTCTCACTCTCCTATGCATCTTTCTTACTGAATAAAAGCTTAAAAATGTACCATGCTGCCTTGTTCATCTATGCTGGTATTCAGAATTCTTCTCTGAATATTAGGCAAGAACCCACGTAGGTTTATTAATATTGGGAATTTATTAATAAGCACACGGTGATATCATATGGCACCCAGATGGGACGTCTGGGAAACTTTAAGGGGGCCATATTCCAA